GATGATGATAATGAAGAAGAAGAAGAAGAAGAAGAAGAAGAAGAAGAAGAAGAAGATTATTATTATTATTATTATTATTATTATTATTATTATTATTATTATTTAAATGCTGTCCAACTCTCAGTGACTCTGGGCAGTTTACAAATGGTTAAAAATCTTTAAAAACAAGGAAACAAACAAGCCAAAAGAATATAGATGGCCAAACTGGATGGGAACAAAGTAAAAAGGAGCGTCATTTGTCCTTACCTAAAGCCTGGGCAAACAGCCAAATCTTCAAGACCCTTTGAAATACCAGTAGGATGGGGGTAGTTTGAATCTCAGAGGGGAGGGGAGGGGAGGGGAACTTTGCATTACCGTGGCCAGGGGGTGGGAAAGCAAAGGGAGCAGGCTTTATTCAGCCTGAGCAGTAACTGAAAGACTGCCTGCTGGGAGACATCCAGGTTGAATGGAGCCATGAGTTTATATACATAGAAACACTGGGCAAGGAAAGTTCATTATGTTCCCTGACTTAATTGGCCATTATTGACTCAACACAAGATAATTAAAAAATGAGAGCTGCCAACCAGCAGAGAACATAGCCGCCCATCACAACATGGCCATCCAGGGAGGGAGCAGTGGCTGGAGGGGAGGGGGCTGATGGAGGCTTTAGCCAATCTGCGCTGCATCCAGCTGTAAGGGTGTGAAAGGGATTAGCAAGGAAAATTGCAGTTGGGAAGTTGAGTGCCAGAACACAGACAGGGATGCATTTGCCACGGCTGGCAGCGGGAGGACAACGCCTCCCCTTCCGGCTCTCAAGGAGCAGCAGGTGGCCCCTACTGGCGAGGGAAAGCACAGAGTGCGGATCTGCCCCAAGTGACCCTAGGACTGCCTACACAGCTGAGCGTATTCAAAACCTTCTTAAAAAGAAAGAAAGGCCTCTGGCATATGCTGAGTGCTATGAAACCACAAGAGCAGTGTTGTCCAAACTTGGCCACTTTGGGAGTTGAAGTCCACTCATCTTAAAGTGGCCAAGTTTGGACAACACTGCACAAGAGGAAGCTCCAGGCTTCAATCGTACAACTAGTGGTTTGTACCAGTTACCTGGGGGGTCCGCCTCTCTCCCATTCTTTCTGCCTGCCTAGTACGTTTGGGCAGAGTGGGTGCGCGCCAGGTCCCTTCTATTAAATATTGCCATCTTGCGGGACCTAGGAAGTGTGTCTCCTCTGTCACGGCCCCCACCCTGTGGAGCAGCATCCCCCCGGAGATATGGGTGGCCCCCACTCTCCTGGAGTTCCTGACTTTGGTCCCAGGCTTGGAGTTAGTGTGTGGGGGGGTCTGTCATGCTTTGTTTTAATGGCTATTTAGTCTGGGCTGTCTTATTTCATTTTAGGTTTTTAATTGTTTTAATTTAGTATTGTATTTTTAAGAGTCCACTGGAGTGGCTGGCTATATTAAATCTAATAAATAACAATAAAAATAATAACTACAGTGGAACCTTGGGTTACGAACGCTTCTGTTCACGAACTTTTCGGGTGACGACCAGCTCCGGCCGCAAAATTTAATAACTACAGTGGAACCTTGGGTTACGAACGCTTCTGTTCACGAACTTTTCGGGTGACGACCAGCTCCGGCCGCAAAATTTAATAACTACAGTGGAACCTTGGGTTACGAACGCTTCTGTTCACGAACTTTTCGGGTGACGACCAGCTCCGGCCGCAAAATTTTGCTTCGGTTCGCGAACTCCGCCTCGGGTTACGAACAGGAACTGCAGCCATTTTCCCTCCTGTGACCCGGTCCGCGGCCATTTTCCCGCCCGTGACACGTGGTCCACGGCCATTTTCCGCCCCTGAAACGTGGTCCACGGCCATTTTTCCGCCCGACACGTGGTCCGTGGCCATTTTTCTGCCCCTGACACGTGATCCGCGGCCATTTTCCACCCCTGACACGTGGTCCGTGGCCATTTTCCACCCCTGACACGTGGTCGTAGGGAG